AGGTCTTAAGCATTACAGATGGAATGATTCTCTTTAGACAGCTCTTTCAAGAGTGGTGGCTGAAGCCTAAATGACACCAGGAGAGATCATCAGACTAACTACCCCTCAGAATCCCTTCAGTTTTATCAGTCCAGTACACACTTTGCTCAACAGTACCAAGCCCTGATGAAAGAGAACTCTTTGAAACCCTGAAATGCATTGGGTTTTTATGATGATATAAGAATTTGATTAAAATAAAATCTGGACTTTCTACGTTCTTTTTTTGACACTTTCCTCCCTGCATACCCAAGTTTTTTTTAATGCAGTGTCCCTCAAGAGCTCCTATATATGTAATACATCTGTGTTCTGAGTTACAGTCCTAAACCAAGCATTACATCACATGGCTTGCAGCATCTCTGTATTGTGGGTGCCAATGTTAGTGGAGTCAAACTGAGATAAAAGTCTAATGACATCAGTCATTACACTGTACAGCTACAGCAGAGCTCATAGAGGGGGAGGGAAAGCAGCACAAGGAGCCCATCACGTAAGCTGCAGTCCAAGTAGCATGCTGATAGGAGCAGAGAGCCGAGTAACAGAGAGGTGGGCTCATTAGTCTGCTGATTCTACTTTTATGGTCTAGTCACCGGCTAGGGGTGGGACAAGACCGGTAATGTAACTTGACTGCAGTAGAGAAAAATCAGGTCAGGGCTGTGCTGTGTGAAATAGCTGAAATAAGAATTCTTTGGTGGAAAAAAAAAAACAGCTCCCTTATATGTATTTCATCTGTGAATTAAGCATTTTTGCTGGAGTTCAAGATTTAGTATGCATTATGCAGGTAACATAGCTGGCTTGCAATATAGGGCTCAGTGTATTATTAATATAGCAACACAAAATTAAACCATAAATCATCATTATCTAGTAGATTCGGAGAAAGAGTGATCTAGGAAATATATGATGGTAACACTCCAGGTCGTTTTCTCCATGCTGGCAGGATTTGAAGGACAACAGGATGTTTGGTTTGCAAATTGCAAATAAAAACATCTTTATTATCCTGATGACCAACATTGTAAAAGTAAGCGAGGCACAATAAAGCATAATATTTATTTGAGCAACTAAGGAGAAATATTCATCTTAAAAAGATTTAATTTTTCCAAGAGTAATGGCCTAAAAAGTCTTGAAAAAGAAAATTTTGTTAATCTCTTAGGGCTTGTTCACCCGACGTCCGGATTGTGTCCGGGCCAGAACCGTGCGCTCCTGCACCCAAAATGCCTCCCAATGTGTTTTATGGGCTACTGTTCTTGCGTGCGCAGTCCTCTCCGGTCCGGACAGAGAAAATACTGTATGTCACACCTTGTCCGGTCACGCACGAACGCGTCAAAAACGCGCCGAAAACGCACCGCACTGCAACACACTGACAGCCCCTCTCCCACCAATAAATAAAACAAACATTTTTTTTAACTGAACGCGTCAAAAATGCGCCAAAAACGCACTGCACGCATAGCACCGCGTCTACATAGCTGCTCCAGATCCGGACAAGATCAGATCCAGGCATCGTGTGAAAAGCCCTTATCGGGTCTCTTTCCCAACTCTAAATAGCCTTACAATTGAATTCCCGGATAGGGAAATATTGTCTAACTACAAGAGTCATGTGTATTTTTACTGGAATATTGGTGAGCTTTGAGTATTTCTTCCAGATCTGTGTAGTAGTCCAGTACGAAATGTTGCCTTTGTGCAAAAGGAGAAAAGAACTAAGTGCAAAAACAATGTGCACCTAAACCATCGCACATATCTATCACATTTACTGTACCCTATATCCTATATTAAAAAAATAAAAGTTAGTCATGGACCAGTAGGGCCTATTCTCCCTGATTAAAACAGTTTTGGCTGCTGGCCAATTATGTCTGGCCTCTTCCTCTGGCCACTGGAGGAGCAGCATCTCCTTCAATGGCCAGAGGAAGAGGAGGAGCTCAAGTCTACAAAACACCTCCCTCTGCGCATATCTATAGAGAGTAATGTTCTGTAACTCACAGAGGTGAACTTAGGAAGGCTGATGCTGATGCTGCTGCTTTTGAGAACATTGTACAGGAACTTGCAAGGTCACTGGATTTTTGGCAGCACTTATCAAAAACATATAAAAAAATACTTTCAATGGTATATGTAACAGACCAAAAGGGAGCAAAAAGAAGTTTGTGATCATAATGTATACACACTTTAACATGAAGTGCAAGTCCAGAGCATCAATGCTGCCTTTCAGAATTTTACAGTCTGCTATCCAATCACAAAGACATATAAGGAAATATCATATAAACGTATCTGTAATATAGATATTACTTATATAAATGGCACCAAGTTACAAAGAAAATTAACTGAACACAAAGGAAGCGGAACTGCTGTATAATTGGCGATACATGTTAACCCAAAAACAGGATAAACCTGACAGGCAAGTTACAGTTATATAGAAAAAGAGATATGTACTCATTCACAGTATTGAGTAATAAAAGAGACCTATTGAAAAGGTACTGCCTAATTCTTACCATAGGTGCAGCTATGTGAACTCCATTTGACCTATCTGTCACAGGCAGCAGCTTTTGATTTTGAATTAGTGCCCATCTCTGGGATTTGTTTTAAATGCCATCTTTTTTTCTGCTTTCCTGGTTACAAGAAGGGTGGGGGAACCTGGTGGCCCTTGCAAGAAAAACAAAACTAGAATGCTGCGATCATTTTTTCATGTGTATATGGAACTAAGCCAAACAGCCATACCAACACTGACACTTTATTAACAGGTGCACCAGTGCTTTGGAGTGTGACGTTTATGTAGGGCTGTTCAATAAAAAAACTTGTTCATCTGATGGGAGGGGGAAGTACTGGGATCTGAACAGGGCTTTAATCCAGGTGTACCGCCACCTTTCCACCACAATTACTTTTTGTCTGTGTTATGGTGATCTTGGAGTAGATCTGCTGTTGATGGTGGGACATCCATAAAAGCAGAAGTAGTTAAACAGTATACGCTTTTGGAAGTAAACACATACTGCCCCTTCTACTGATTCTGTAGGTGATTACACAGCAGCTACATGAAGGTAAATGAGTCATGGTTCTGACCTTGTAAGTGTTGCACTACATTCGTATTTACTACATTAGTAGCTCACTGAATGTCTTGTCTGGAATTGTCCTTTATTCATCATAATGACCACATTGAACAACTAATTCCACAGCTGAGACCATCTCCGTACAAAGGCCTAATATGATGCACAGTTTAGTAATCATGCATACAAAAGGCATGTAAAGCTGTAGCAGCTCATACAGCTGCTGTTGATTGTTTTTTTCCCCAATAGAAATGTAGTTGGAGAACGGTCGTCTTAATGATCATGGCTTGCAATTGTGAAATGCAACATACAGTATCTGTCCTGTGCTTTCACAAATGAACCTCAGTGTTTTCTGTATCACAGTAACATAAAGACAGATATATTAGAAGAAAAATTAAATTACCAAATGTTAAAGTATACATAAACCCTTACTATGAATTTCTATTATTTGACTACTTTTTGTCTGTAAAATATAAATTGAATTTTTTTTGTACCTGTTCAATAGGTGCAAAATAAAACTTGATGATACTGCCAGAAATCCAGTATGCTTGTAACGCCCTGCGTACTTTGCCTGCACTATTATCACTTAGCAGCCTTGCACAGCTTTCTCAGGGGGCTGCAGAACAGCGGCGTTGGTTTACAGGTAGTGTACAATGACTAAGCATTCTCAGCTAGGACAGGATGGGTGTTACTGGCAGAATAATCAGGTGAAAATAAAGAAAATGAAAGTCTGAAAAACGAGGGAAATAGTCTCCCAAATGAATATTATGTCCCAACTAAAATATTTTCATTCACCTTCATGTTCCGGGACAACCATAACATTTTGGATTTTCCATTACTTTCTGTGCTTGTGACATTAGTGAATCCCATAGACAATACAAATCTGACAGGGCTTTTATCCCTTACCAATTATTCAAAAACTCCATAAAAAAAAAGTTTAGATTTTAGATACAGAAGTATGTAGAGAGATACGCTATTGGCTTAATGTATTGATTTTCTCAACTTGCATTAATGTTTAAAGCATGTTTCTACGCAGAGCTATTTAAATATGGAAGCTCAGGGGGTGGCCCCATTTTTCTGGTTACAAATACTTTATATACTGTATTTTCTGCTCAGTAATAGAGCATAGCAATTGTGCTTTATGATTTCTCTCTCTCAATACAAGTCCATCAGTTTGCTTAGACTAATGGATAGCAATACACTCTATAGCTGGCTTACCACATAAATTATAGTTTTTCTCAGTAGCTTTTCAGCAACAGTGACAAAAATGTTAAAACATACCTTACTTTTATGTAAACTTTTCAATGACTTTAGGCACTGATGATTCAATGTAAAAATGTATTGCTGATGTCATTGTTACAGTTGCACTTTCATCAATGTAGTGGACACTTTTGACAAGCTCTAACCTTCTTCTGGACTAAAAAAAATTAGGAATTGTCTAAGATTAGAAATTCATATAGGGCTCTAGACCCTAAGGGCTTGTTCACACGACGTCCAGATTCTGTCTGGACCAGATCCGTGTGCTCATGCACCCAAAATACATCCCAATGTATCCCTATGTGTTTTATGGGCTACAGTTCTCATGAGCGCAGTCCGTTCCTGACAGAAAAAATACTGCATGTCACGTTTTGTCCGGTCGGGAAATGCACGAACGTGTCGAAAACGCACTGCACTGCAGCTAACATACTGACATCCCCACTCCAACCAAAAATGTTTTTTTCTTTTTTTAACTGGAACAATTTAAAAACGCATCAAAAAAGCACTGCATGCATAGCACCGCGTCTCCAGATCTGGACCAGAAAATCTTGTGAACAAGCCCAAAAGCAAGATTCTGTTGTTGCTTTAAAAGGAATCGTGGTAATGCATACAACTAACTGAACACTAACTTTTCTCTCTGATTTATATGGCATTGTCCTATAGCATGAAACACCACGATACCTGTAGTAAACACGCAGGTTCTGAAGCTCTTCTTCTAGCCGTTTATAGTCTTCTATAACCTTGTCTTCATCATGCTGGAGAAAGGACAGTGGAACCTGGCAAAAAGAAACAAATGAGTGTAATGGTTTTAAAAATTCAACATATTTGGCCAGGCATACTTATGGAAGACATGGAAGATTACTGACAAAGCTGAACTGAATTGTTGGATTATGTCGAGAACAACTAAATTTGCCTTCCAAAACCACAAGAATATAGTTATCACTGTATTCACCATCCAAGCTGCCTAACATAACATATCTATAAACCAAAAGATCTGCTCTAACAAAAAATAGTACCTGGAGCTTTTCATGGCGGCTTGTGTGGAAGCATTTTGTGATTTTTTTTTTTTAATTCTTTAAATATATAAAATACAACAATTTTAGCATTGTGATCTTGACTATAATATGACCTTTGAAGCTAATGGGAGCACTTTCCTGATTTGCATACTCGTTCCAGTCATGGTGTCAGCACATCAGCCAGAAAACTAGCATTTTTAGAAGCAGGTCAGCAAAGGCAACCATAATATTTGACTTACAACAAGTTTACTTTAAACAAATTTACCAAGAAATGATTGGTTTCATTGAGTTTATAGTGTGGTGTTTATGTCTTGTAATTATGAAGCAACTGTGGAACTGTTAAAAAAAAAAAGTTACTCTAATTGTGAAGATAATGATGTCTGATGACCACAAACTGAGTGGGAAGAAGGCTGAAATTGTGTTGCACACAGTGTCATCTTCATTTCTCTGAAACCCACATGTCTGTGATAAAAAAAAGAGATTTCAATCTTATGTCTATGATGAAAAAAAGGGATGACAACAATGATAATATCAAAGACCAGATTGAACTCCGCACACTAGAACACAGTTCAGCTCGACAAATGAAGCAGGCCATCATGAATACCATTAAACATCTGAAGATCTGCACAGCCTGTTAATGAGCCCCATCATAAATGGCTACTGTAAACAGCACTTGGTAGAGGCTGAAAAGACAGAAAGGAAAATTTATCAAAACTGGAGCAGACCAAATATGGAGCAGTTGCCAATGGCAACCAATCAGCATCCACCTTTCATTTTCAAACCCTAACAGAACAAACTGAAGAGAGAAGCTGATTGGTTGCCATAGGCAACTGCTCCAGATTCTTCTGCTCCAGTTTTGATAAATTCCCCCCAGAGACTCTTAAAACAGCCCATCATAAATAGTTTGAAAGAAGGCACATCTATCAGACTGGAATTAGTGGCCTATTCTAATATACAGATGAGCTGCACAGATTTAAAAGTCATACAATTACCATAAATAATGCTATGATGATGTTACTTTCATTCTAAGTGTCTACACACAAATGTATAAGAGAATAACAATCAGTTTGATACCAAACACACTGTTTCAAGGCTATAAAGTGTACAGAAAGCAGATGGGGCACATTCAATCTCCTAAATGATATAAGCACTGGATCTACATTTGGTCTTTATCAAATCTTGATTTTATTCTGCCAATCTTCACCCAGCACTTCTTTATTTGTAAAATCCAGTCAACGTAAGCTTGCGAACCGCTCACATGTTTCATATAAACGGGCTTAATTGTAGAGTAAAGCTTGGAGGTGACTGGATTTTACAAATAAAGAAGCACTGTAAGATTGGCAGTGTGAATACTTGGCAATAAGGGAGTTTTTTGCTGAAGTAGCATAAAACACGTCAGCACTCCTACATCACACCCCTCAGCTCTTTTGACCAGGGGTCTGCTAAGTGACACCCTCTGGAAGGTCAACAAAAAGCTGCTAAACCTCAGACTGCTCCTTTTCCATCTGAACCATGCCAGAGTGCTAGGAGTTATTTCTCAGGGCCAGTGGCTCTAAAAGAATCCCTGCCTCTTTAAAGAAAGCTTTATTTTAAACACTGCTATATTCCTGTCTGTTGAGTGTCTTAAACATTTCTTAAAGGTCAAACTTGCTATAGCAGGTACTGTAAACGGTGAGTGTTTGTACAAGTACTTTGGGTCAGGTACTTGCCGATATCTCTTAACGATACTTTTTCTTAAAGGTCTTGTGAATTTTTTCTAAACCCAACAGATTAATGATTTTAGGGCACTTTCTTTATAATTATGAAGAACTGTAACTCAATCCATGATTAATCAGCAATGGAGAATGCCAACAAGCAGTCATGGATTGCTGAGATTTGTAGTCCTCTACAGCTGCTTGCAATTGTCTATTGCATTTGATTAGTACTGTGACATACATCAAAAACAATAGGCAGCCGCAGTATAAAAGTTAAATTACCTGCTCCAAGGAGGGTAATGGCAGGCTCCAGAAGTGCGGCGCGGTGTCTGTGAGCAGGCATCAGGATTGCATGCAGCGCCTCACCAGGGCGCATGCAGATCACACCAGGGCTGCGTTAAAGGTGTCACCGGGGCTGCGTTAAGGTATCACCGGGGCTGCGTTAAGGTGTCACCTGGGCTGCATTAAGGTGTCACCAGGGCTGCATGTGTGACTCTCCAAGACTGTACTGGCTATTGCTGGGCTCTCCAGGGCTGCGTTAAAGGTGTCACCGGGGCTGCGTTAAGGTATCACCGGGGCTGCGTTAAGGTGTCACCTGGGCTGCATTAAGGTGTCACCAGGGCTGCATGTGTGACTCTCCAAGACTGTACTGGCTATTGCTGGGCTCTCCAGGGCTGTGTTTGAGTTTCACCAGGGCTGCATGCAGGTCTCACCAGGGCTGTACCAGCTATTGCCGGGCACCAGGCTCTCCGTGGCTGTGATCGCATCCCACCAGGGGTGTATGTGCAGCTCTCCAGGGCTGCGATCAAGTCTCATCAGGGCTGTATGTGCGGCTCTCCATGGCTGTAACAGCAGGTGACCACCGTTGGGCTCTCCAGCGCTGTATGGCCGGGGTGGGGCTGTCCTCAGCTGTGCTGGTCTCAGGAAGGGGAGGAGGAGATGTGCGGCTGGACCGGCACTGCCAAGGACAGCTATAGCGAGGTCCCCAGGAAGTGCAGGAACTCAGGCAACCAAGAATCGGGGCATTTTCATGAGTACAAGTACTTGTAAAAATGCCCTGTATCGGCCCCCGATATCAATACTAGTATTGATATCGGTGCATCCCTAGTGGCTACCGTTTGGTAAGCAAAGGGTTAACAGAGTTAACCAGCGTAAACCGACCCCAGTGATGGTCACTCTTGATCTGCAGGCTCAGAGCTTGAAAATCTCTACAGAGGGTGAGGCTGAGAGTGCCATCATCACATTCTGGTGGGAACCGTGAGATCCGAAACTTCTACCGTCACACTGCTGCCGGACTACTTTTTTCTTTGAAAGTAAGCTGTAAGTATGTTCAAGAAACAAATTAGATTCTTATTGGCTTTTTGAATATAACCAGAAGTCATGTATTAAAAAATATTTTTCTGGGTAATTAGGAGTTCCTTAGGTACCCAAAGATTTTATGTTACATCCCCATTGTCAAATACCTCAATAAGTACAATGGACAACGACTATGTAGTCAATTAGTGCAACAAATAACAATTCTGATTCTGTTATGGGATGAATTATTTATTATCTGTGATAGAAATATTTGGTTGATGTTAACTATAGGAATAGCTCTTTCCAAGATAGGAAAGGAGACACCTTTTAGAACAAACTATATAGGCAAAGCCCCCCCCCAGTTATACAGACCAAAAAGAAAGAATATGCAACAATTATTGGATAAACTCCAAAGTGCTTTTTAGAGTCATTTTAAAATTTTTATTGCTGTCTGCGTCCCCATTAGGGGTATGCATCCTTTTTTTGTTCTTGTAAGTGTTTCCACTAAATGTGAAAGAAAATCCAAAGTTTTGGGTTGTCACGAGAACAGGAATAGATGGAAAATCTTCCAATGCGGACACTAGTTTGGGTGTTCCTGGTGACCACCCTCGATTTCCCTCTCACTTCCTATTGTAGCTATAAGACAGGAAGTGAATGGAAATTTCCCCAATGGAACACTGATGGCAATAAAAGAATGCTGACAGGGGTTATAACTCTCTCTTACTCTATACAGAACTACAGTTCGACTAAGTGAATAAGATCTTCGGAGATTGGATTATTTCTAATTGTTTTCATTTTAATGCCCCTAGGTTCTATAATACACATAAATCTAGCTCTTCTATCAGCCCCTTATAAAACAAAGTATGACATGTGATCTGAATATATGTCACCCTCTGCCACAGCCAGCTTTACTTTCACAGAGCTAGAGTTTTTATAAGGCACCTGCAATTTCACCACATGGTTTGCACTTTACAACTGCATTTCCCTAAGTAAATAGCGTTGAGTGTCTCAACAATCAATCGAATCCTCAATGGTCTATTAATGTAAATTAAACTGTGTATGTTTCAAATAGAAACAGAGATTTAAATACAAAGCTGGCCACACACCTCACGCAGAGGACACATGCCAGGGAACAATCCTAAAGATTTTTTTTCCTCCCAGCAGTCAAGGGTCAATTTATGCCTATATCCTGTGCTTTTATCCAAGGTTCCACACTTATATCTACATTGTCAACACAGAACAAAATGAACTAAAACTCCACTCTAGGAAATCTAGTTTTAGTCTATCGAAGATGTTTCAAAGTTTTGTTCTGGTTCAAAGACAGGGCTGGAAATACAAAGCAGCCCTCTCACATTGATGAAATCTCACCCTTTAGATAGAACCCCATCCCCCCCCCACAAAAAAATGTTTTACCTGTGCCCTCAGTGCCTTACAGTAGTAGAGGTCGCACGGCTTCCACACACCTTATGATAATAGTACGATCGCGGGATTTCCCCGTGATTATCCCAAAGGTGTGTGGGCACCTTTATAGGGTCTGTACAAGGGAAGTAGAAGTGTACAGTACTCACAGAAGCCTGTCATGTGTAACTTCCTCTGAGAAATTTTTATCTGGTGTCTTTTCTATTGCTGTGTATGTCACTTTTGGCATTTAGCCGAAAGTGCCATTTTCGGCCGGCGCCCCCCCCTTCACTTTTCGCCCGGGGCCCGCGCCCCTGCTGCCCCCCGGTTATTACGCCACTGCTGTGACCCCATTTTGCTCATTTCATGTCC